GCATTCGTGTTGATGTAGTTGGGTAGCCACTGGTCAGGGAGGTGCATTCGTGTTGATGTAGTTGGGTATCCACTGGTCAGGGAGGTGCATTCGTGTTGATGTAGCTGGGTAGCCACTAGTCAGGGAGGTGCATTCGTGTTGATGTAGTTGGGTAGCCACTTGTCAGGGAGCTGCATTCGTGTTGATGTAGTTGGGTAGCCACTGGTCAGGGAGGTGCATTCGTGTTGATGTAGTTGGGTATCCACTGGTCAGGGAGGTGCATTCGTGTTGATGTAGCTGGGTAGCCACTGGTCAGGGAGGTGCATTCGTGTTGATGTAGTTGGGTAGCCACTGGTCAGGTAGGTGCATTCGTGTTGATGTAGTTGGGTAGCCACTGGTCAGGGAGGTGCATTCGTGTTGATGTAGCTGGGTAGCCACTGGTCAGGGAGGTGCATTCGTGTTGATGTAGTTGGGTAGCCACTGGTCAGGGAGGTGCATTCGTGTTGTCGTGTAGCTGTAGTTGGGTAGCCACCGGTCAGGGAGGTGCATTCGTGTTGATTTAGCTGTAGTTGGGTAGCCACTGGTCAGGGAGGTGCATTCGTGTTGATGTAGCTGGGTAGCCACTGGTCAGGGAGGTGCATTCGTGTTGATATAGCTGGGTAGCCACTGGTCAGGGAGGTGCTTTCGTGTTGATGTAGTTGGGTAGCCACTGGTCAGGGAGGTGCATTCGTGTTGTCGTGTAGCTGTAGTTGGGTAGCCACCGGTCAGGGAGGTGCATTCGTGTTGATGTAGTTGGGTAGCCACTTGTCAGGGAGGTGCATTCGTGTTGATGTAATTGGGTAGCCACTGGTCAGGGAGGTGCATTCGTGTAGATGTAGTTGGGTAGCCACTGGTCAGGGAGATGCATTCGTGTTGATGTAGTTGGGTAGCCACTGGTCAAGGAGGTGCATTCGTGTTGATGTAGTTGGGTAGCCACTGGTCAGGGAGGTGCATTAGTGTTGATGTAGATGTAGTTGGGTAGGCACTGGTCAGGGAGGTGCATTCGTGTTGATGTAGCTGGGTAGCCACTGGTCAGGGAGGTGCATTCGTTTTGATGTAGTTGGGTAGGCACTGGTCAGGGAGGTGCATTCGTGTTGATGTAGTTGGGTAGGCACTGGTCAGGGAGGTGCATTCGTGTTGATGTAGTTGGGTAGCCACTGGTCAGGGTGGTGCATTCGTGTTGATGTAGTTGGGTAGCCACTGGTCAGGGTGGTGCATTCGTGTTGATGTAGTTGGGTAGCCACTGGTCAAGGAGGTGCATTCGTGTTGATGTAGTTGGGTAGCCACTGGTCAGGGAGGTGCATTCGTGTTGATGTAGATGTAGTTGGGTAGGCACTGGTCAGGGAGGTGCATTCGTGTTGATGTAGTTGGGTAGCCACTGGTCAGGGTGGTGCATTCGTGTTGATGTAGTTGGGTAGCCACTGGTCAGGGTGGTGCATTCGTGTTGATGTAGTTGGGTAGACACTGGTCAGGGTGGTGCATTCGTGTTGATGTAGTTGGGTAGCCACTGGTCAGGGAGTTGCATTCGTGTTGATGTAGCTGTAGTTGGGTAGCCACTGGTCAGTGAGGTGAAGTAGTGTTGATGTAGATGTAGTTGGGTAGCCAATGGTCAGGGGGGTGCATTCGTGTTGATGTAGTTGGGTAGCCACTGGCCAGTGAGGTGAAGTAGTGTTGATGTAGTTGGGTAGCCACTGGTCAGGGTGGTGCATTCGTGTTGATGTAGTTGGGTAGCCACTGGTCAGTGAGGTGCATTCGTGTTGATGTAGCTGTAGTTGGGTAGCCACTGGTCAGTGAGGTGAAGTAGTGTTGATGTAGCTGTAGTTGGGTAGCCACTGGTCAGTAGTGGTCAGGCTAATGCATCAGGTCAGGGAGGTGAAGTAGTGTTGACTTGTAGCAGTAAATGTATTGTTGGGACCATCACTGTGTCCAAAAATCTATTTTTGGGACCATCTGTGTGTCCTAAAATCTATTTTTGGGACCATCACTGTGTCCTAAAATTTGTTTTTGGAACCATCACTGTGTCTTACAATTTGTTGTTGGGACCATCACTGTGTCCTAAAATCTATTTTTGGGACCATCTGTGTGTCCTAAAATTTGTTTTTGGAACCATCACTGTGTCCTACAATCTGTTGTTGGGGGCCAAAAGCCACGTGATAAAAGACAAAGGTACCTTTAGACTGCGTTGTCTTACACCTGTCCTCGGGAATGTTTAAGTGGCGTCATCAAATATTTGGCCGCTCAAAGGCAAGCAGCGACACACAATGCTAGTTGATTTAATTTTTTTTTAACTGGAGGGGGGGGGGGAAGCAAACACACGAAGAAAACACAACTAATGAACACTGTACACGAACCTGTATGATCGTCGCAAGGTCATTCGTCGCTGTATGTTTTAGTCCCACTGTCCCTCGTGTCTGTGAACTCATGGTGTGGAGAAGCCTTGTCTTCTGAAGATTTGTTTTTATGTCATCTATTGAATAGTCCAGAGAAAGTAGATGAAGAGGGGGAATAAAATACACTAATATGTATCGTTTTCATAGCTGAACAACACAGATTGTATTTCTAATTTGAAGAGCCACGGGTTGCGGATATTATAGGCTACTTTTTCACAGCTGACGGCTCACGGCTAATATAATTAACTCGTCCCACCATGTACCACACAAGCTGGCTACATGCAGATCTAGATGACTTAGTTGGCCTACAGACTCCAGAGGAACAGCGACACTTCCTGATCTCGCGTGCTCTACCCGCTTTGCTATACTTAGCTGAGCGTGGAAAATGTTTCTCAACGTTTTACTTGTTCTAAAGCAATCTCCACACTAGCTTTTGTTTCAACTACACAAGTTTGACCTTCGTGTCGTGACATTATGGCATCATGTTTCTCAACGTTTACATGGTCTAAAGCAATCTCCACACTAGCTTTTGTTTCAACTACACAAGTTTGACCTTTGTGTCGTGACATTATGGCATCATGTGTCTCAACGTTTACATGGTCTTAAGCAATCTCCACACTAGCTTTTGTTTCAACTACACAAGTTTGACCTTCGTGTCGTGACATGGCATCATGTTTCTCAACGTTTACATGGTCTTAAGCAATCTCCACACTAGCTTTTGTTTCAACTACACAAGTTTGACCTTCGTGTCGTGACATGGCATCATGTTTCTCAACGTTTACATGGTCTTAAGCAATCTCCACACTAGCTTTTGTTTCAACTACACAAGTTTGACCTTCGTGTCGTGACATGGCATCATGTGTCTCAACGTTTACATGGTCTTAAGCAATCTCCACACTAGCTTTTGTTTCAACTACACAATAGAAGTTTGACCCTTGTGTCGTGACATTATGGCATCATGTTTCTCAAAGTTTACATGGTCTTAAGCAATCTCCACACTAGCTTTTGTTTCAACTACACAAGTTTGACCTTTGTGTCGTGACATTACGGCATAATGTGTCTCATCTGTGTACATGGTCTTAAGCAATCTCCACACTAGCTTTTGTTTCAACTACACAATAGAAGTTTGACCCTTGTGTCGTGACATTATGGCATCATGTTTCTCAAAGTTTACATGGTCGCAATCTCCACACTAGCTTTTGTTTCAACTACACAAGTTTGACCTTCGTGTCGTGACATTATGGCATCATATGTCTCAACGTTTACATGATCTTAAGCAATCTCCACACTAGCTTTTGTTTCAACTACACAAGTTTGACCTTTGTGTCGTGACATGGCATCATATGTCTCAACGTTTACATGATCTTAAGCAATCTCCACACTAGCTTTTGTTTCAACTACACAAGTTTGACCTTTGTGTCGTGACATGGCATCATATGTCTCATCTGTGTAGCTCCAACAAAATCAATACGGACAGCGCGCTCTACTCTGTGTGTGGGAGACACGTCTGTGTAGACATATTGTAGTAACAATACTAACCAATACATGGGGCTGATCCTACCATTGGCTTTACATCCTGCATTTATTGATTCCATTTTACACCTATCACTAACATGATTACTATTCGCATGTCTTTGTTAAATCTTCAGTCAAGATAATTATTTTACCACTAGTTTAAAATCCCTCACCCGTCATCATGGTTGATTGGTTTATAAATTAAATCATTTAAACAAAACTGATTTGGGGCCTAAGTGTAGTGGTAGAATGCTTACAAGAATGTGTTTGTCCTTTTGTACACATGTGTTGGTAGAATGCTTACAAGAATGTGTTTGTCCTTTCGTACACATGTGTTGGTAGAATGCTTACAAGAATGTGTTTGTCCTTTTGTACACATGTGTTGGTAGAATGCTTACAAGAATGTGTTTGTCCTTTTGTACACATGTGTTGGTAGAATGCTTACAAGAATGTGTTTGTCCTTTTGTACACATGTGTTGATAGAATGCTTACAAGAATGGGTTTGTCCTTTTGTACACATGTGTTGGTAGAATGCTTACAAGAATGTGTTTGTCCTTTTGTACACATGTGTTGGTAGAATGCTTACAAGAATGTGTTTGTCCTTTTGTACACATGTGTTGATAGAATGCTTACAAGAATGTGTTTGTCCTTTTGTACACATGTGTTGGTAGAATGCTTACAAGAATGTGTTTGTCCTTTTGTACACATGTGTTGGTAGAATGCTTACAAGAATGTGTTTGTCCTTTTGTACACATGTGTTGGTAGAATGCTTACAAGAATGTGTTTGTCCTTTTGTACACATGTGTTGATAGAATGCTTACAAGAATGTGTTTGTCCTTTTGTACACATGTGTTGGTAGAATGCTTACAAGAATGTGTTTGTCCTTTTGTACACATGTGTTGATAGAATGCTTACAAGAATGTGTTTGTTCTTTTGTACACATGTGTTGGTAGAATGCTTACAAGAATGTGTTTGTCCTTTTGTACACATGTAGTGGTAGAATGCTTACAATGATGTGTTTGTCCTTTTGTACACATGTAATGATAGAATGCTTACAGAATGTATTTGTCCTTCCAGCGCCCTCCAGGAGCAGTGGTAGTTCCAGCCATGAGGAGCCAGACTTTGACTTCCTCAAACCAACGTCAGGGAAAACTGTCCAAAGAAAACCCAGTTCAGCTTCCAGCTCTTCGGTGCCAAGACGAACCTCTTCCACAAGTAAGTTAGATCACTGTGTGCTAGAAACTCTGCTCAGTCTTTCTGTTCTATTCTGATTATTTGGTCATCGGTTTCTAATGTCTTGTCTAAAACGTTTGTACATTCTTATCTATGTGAGATTTGTTTGTCTAATGGTTACACGTTTAGAATAAACAATCAGACCGATATTTTTTGTGTGCAAAGATCCTGTCTTAACAGAGTTGCGCCGTATTAAGCATGCTAAATAGTTAGCGCCCGTTGATCACATTTCCGTTGAGAAAAATGAAAGGAACATTTCCGTTAGTAAAGATTTCGACATTTAATAATTTGTTTGAAAAAATTGACGAGCCAATCCAGGTAAACCAGCGGAAGTTTTGAAAGGTTGACAGGTGTAAAAAGTTTGGGTTAAAACATTTCCATCTGTTGGATTGGATTTATCCAACTCAGTCTAATGCGTTTGAATGGCTGGATTAAATTTGGTATTTTTTTTTTTTTTTTTTTTTTTTACTTGAGTAAGTAGTGAGATACTCTAGCAATGTATAGGTTTGCTGGATTTAAAAAATAATTCCTTGTGGCGATGTTCTTCCAATAATAATTGCAGGCTTGCAGTACTGTGACTATCTTAGTGACGTATTCAGTACCCCCCCCCCCCCCCCTCCCCCATCCACCTACAGCCCTCGTGTTCACGTGACCAGTCAGTCAATGGTTGAACGATCCCTTAATACCCATTGGTATGTGAGCCACGAGGTCATGTCGCAACAAGCCATATGGTGCTTAGTTATTGTTGCCGACTGGTGGGCCATACGGACTAGTCTACACCTAGTCTAGACCTTTATATACTCTCTATCACACACACATTGATATGGGTGCATGTGTGTGTGTGTGTGTGTGTGTGCATGTATGTATGTTTGTATGTATGTATGTATGTATGTATGTATGTATGTATGTATGTATGTATGTATGTATGTATGTATGTATGTATGTATGTATGTATGTATGTATGTATGTATAAACACTCAACCCCGACAAATCGATATGCCGTCCATCCTCCGGGAAATGTTGGCTAGTATCGTGACTCATTTGGTGTTATTACCACATGTATACACACTAGTGCCTAGAAGTGGGGAAGACATAGACTACATGGCTTTACCGATGAATACATCACACTGTGTTTGTGTGTACACGCAGCGCTGTACACATCGAGGGTATCGCTACAGCTGGTAATACGTTGATCAGCTGTGTAGGCCTGTGCTTTCCTGAGTACCGGACTCTACCCGCTCACACACACACCGGACCCTACCCCCCCTTCCCCCTGGTAAATCCCTGTTAATTAACAGATCAGTGTTCCCCCCTCTGTAATTGGCCGGCTATGTGTCATTTGCCCGATGTAAACAAACCGTGTATCAAATGGCCTGCCTCTAGCCTGAGTCACCTCGTCTCGTATCGAACAGCCATTGATTAGGCCGTGTCCGTGTGTAGTTCGTGTGTGTCTCCTGCTATGCCGTTTAATAATGCCCTGATCTTATCTGGTATCGGGGTTCGTGGTCTCCACACGTTTAATGTGTGTGTGCTGCTGTACTGGATTATCTGCAAGTGTGATGATGTCGTTTGGGATTAGGTACAAGCCACGGCTGTAACATTTACTTGCCTGTGCATAAACAACAATAGGGTTGTTACTTGAATGTGCAGTAAGATTAGTCATTGTTGATTCAGACATGTTGATGTGCACTCAACTTGAGCAGTGTTGATTCAGTCAAGTGGATTAGTAATGGACTAACAAGTTATGTAGTTCTGGACTTGATTGTGTGGTAGCATTATATTGTCATTGTAATGATAGGTTAATGTTCATTCAGTCAAGCTGCTAGGTGCTACTTCAGTTAATGTTGATTCAGTTCAATTTGTTTTGTACTTGATTGTGTGGTAGCATTATAATGATAAGTTAATGTTCATTCAGTCATGTTGCTAGGTACTACTTCAGTTAATGTTGATTCAGTTCAATATGTTTTGTACTTGAATGTGCAGTAAACTCTCAATCGGTGTATACTTTGACATTGAAGAGACATGTTGTGATTGGACTTGACTAAGCTGTATTACAAGTTAATGTATTTTAGTAGGTTTTGAATTTGTGCAGTATGCTGTGTACTTTACAGTGCAGTAAGTTGCTAGTGTACAACTTGACAGTGCTGTAGTATTGTTTGGTGTAATATTTAACAGTAACATCAGTTAGTGTTGGTTGAGTTCAGTGGCTGTAGCACCTGTGTTTAGTCTAGAGAGGTGGTAGATGATGGTAACTAGCCACAAGTGATGTTATGTTAGCTGAGGTAGCAACTAGCCATTAGTGCTGTTGTGTTTGAAGTTATGAGTTAGAAACCAGCTACAAAAGTTGTGTATAACGTGGCAGCTAGAAGTTTAAATGGAAATGTTTGTTGGTAACAACCTACTCTTCTGGACCTGATTCTACAATGTCCAGTTCAGGTATGGTATTGTCCTGATATTTTTAACCAGTACAATGTTGCATTTAAACACATTTAAGCCCACCAACAACCCCACCACCTTGACAATAATTTACCTGTGACTGTAAGACTATCAATCCCAGCACCTTGACAATAATTTACCTGTGACTGTAAGACTATCAACCCCAGCACCTTGACAATAATTTACCTGTGACTGTAAGACTATCAACCCCACCACCTTGACAATAATTTACCTGTGACTGTAAGACTATCAACCCAACCACCTTGACAATAATTTACCTGTGACTGTAAGACTATCAACCCCACCACCTTGACAATAATTTACCTGTGACTGTAAGAATATCAACCCAGCACCTTGACAATAATTTACCTGTGACTGTAAGACTATCAACCCAACCACCTTGACAATAATTTACCTCTACATGTAAGACTATCAACCCAACCACCTTGACAATAATTTACCTGTGACTGTAAGACTATCAACCCCACCACCTTGACAATAATTTACCTGTGCATGTAAGACTATCAACCTCAGCACCTTGACAATAATTTACCTGTGACTGTAAGACTATCAACCCCACCACCTTGACAATAATTTACCTGTGACTGTAAGACTATCAACCCCAGCACCTTGACAGTAATTTACCTGTGACTGTAAGACTATCAACCCCACCACCTTGACAATAATTTACCTGTGACTGTAAGACTATCAACCCAACCACCTTGACAATAATTTACCTGTGCATGTAAGACTATCAACCCAACCACCTTGACAATAATTTACCTGTGACTGTAAGACTATCAACCCAACCACCTTGACAATAATTTACCTGTGCATGTAAGACTATCAACCTCAGCACCTTGACAATAATTTACCTGTGACTGTAAGACTATCAACCCACCACCTTGACAATAATTTACCTGTGACTGTAAGACTATCAACCCCAGCACCTTGACAATAATTTACCTGTGACTGTAAGACTATCAACCCCACCACCTTGACAATAATTTACCTGTGACTGTAAGACTATCAACCCAACCACCTTGACAATAATTTACCTGAACTTTGAAGTCATGCCAAGATCTTGAAGGACTTGTTTGAATCTTCTTATCTGATGGTGTCCCTGTTTTAATATCTGGTCTTTTTATAGAACCTTTCAGTTACGTTATCTTATTCACCTTTAGGTCTCCTATTTATTGGGGAAAAAATATAAATTTTTCAAAATGTATTAGTGGATTATTATGAAATTTTTTTTAAAAACTTTTTCACAATGGGTATTGTCTGATTATGTTTAAAAAAATTTAATAAATTACTCAAAATGTGGTAGTGTTGATAATGAAGAAAAAAAATCTCAATTATGTTTGATTATTTAAAAAAAAAAATTAAATCAATTTTTCAAAGAGTGGTAGTCTGATTAGTAATGAAATGGGTGTGTAATGAGTTGTGAGAGTAGATCAAAGAAAGTGCTAATAACGAGTTGAGATAAAGCATAACCTAATTTTCTCTTGTGCAGCAGTTGAGCCAAAAAGGAAAAGATCTGGTAAATTGCCCTGAGTTGATGTCTAGATGTTTTAGCTGTAGACTTGATGTGGTAGCTTGATGTATCTACACATAGGAATAGTATTGTCTTCAGTCACAGTTGCTTTGTTTTTTTTTAATTGCTTATACAAGTGGGGTGAAGCATTTAGTATGTGTGTGTAGCCTTAGTTAACTCTTTTTATGTCTTTACTGAAAAATTGGTTAATTTTAAAGAAATTATTTTTAAAAGTAAATTTCTCTAAAAAGCAGGGAAAAACTGTTGGTTTTTGGAAACATATTTATAACTGATGTGGGTTTTGGGGAAACTTTATAATTGTTGAGTTTGAGAATGTTTGGTTATCTGAGATATTAAGTTGAGCTCCTTGTTTCCTAGCGTGTTGTGACCATACTATCCCTTCATATGTTGAGGTCATAGAAACAGGTGAACTCTACTTCACTTGCCCCATAGACCGTCAAGTTAAGAAGGGGAACTTGACTTTTAGCTGAATTCTTGACATCTTTATGTACATCTTATCCCTCCCAAATCCCTACAAATTGGTTGCTGTATTATTGGTATTGTTTCAGTGTTCACTTATGCTTTTATTTTCAATTTGAAAAAAATTAGATTGTACGCACTTTTAAAAAATTTCCTATTCTAAAATTTTTTTTACATTTGTCTTAGAAAAGTTAAAGGCCTGTGTATATAGATCTATATTTTTTCATTTTTTAACACACAATTTTATAATTAATTTTTGTTTCAAAATACTTAACATTTTTGTTTAAAATGTAAATGCTTCATTAGATAACAAAAGTCATGTTTTCATTTTACCACACTTTAGTTTCAATCCAACAAAAAATAGCCTTACTAACTTTTAAGTTTTCTGGTTCTAAGTCTTTGTTTATTTTTGTCATCAAATAGAATCTAGTTATTATTTATTTTAATATCTATGTTATCTATGTTAATACTCAGTTGGTTTTATTTTGCTCTATAAGCTTTCCCTTTTTTTTTTATATCGGTTGTTTTAATTTTTTTTTTCTATGTGTCACTTCTCATGATGTGTACACTTTCTCCTGTGTTAGTACTCACATTTTGAATGAATGAAAAAACAAGCATTGTGTGTGTACTCACTGTGTTTCTCCATCTACAGCTTCAGCTGGGGGGTCGGGTGCTGTGGATGAAGAACATTTCATCAAGTCATTTGAGGATGTCGCCTCAGCTAAGGTAAAAAAAAGTTTCTTTACTATCTGTTAAGTTTAAACTAGGTAAAAATGATCGTAACTGGTAAGTTGTCCTATATTTCCTATATTTATTAAGCTCAGCCCAGGGAATACATAGAAACAACAAACATTTGGTGTAGCATTTTAGCTAAGCCAGTTAATTTTTCATTATTACATGTCTAGAACTGGTCAGTTGATGATGTCGCACACATGGGGTGGGAGGGTGGGTGGGATTTAGTAAGGATGATGTGTGTGTGTGAGGGCGGGGGGGGGGGGGGGGGGGGGTAATATATTATTATGATGTTGCATTTTTAATGTCTCCATGGTAAAACAATGTTATTTTTAGTTGTAGTCTTTACAGGAGGTAGGGTGTTGAACTTTGTAATGTATTTTAATGTGTAGGGGGTTGGGGTAGTCTGGTTTTTGTAGCAATGTCCTTTAAATTACCTGACATCATTTATGTACAACCTGTAAGAACAAATAGAGTACTGGCTAAACCATTTCAATGTGGGTACTCCTTTAATTGTAGATCTAACTTAACTCCCACTAAAATTGGGTTTTTGTTATTATTTTTTACAAATGAAACTTTTTGAATAAAATTTCAGATTTTCTCCTCGAGAGATGTCCAAGAACAGATGATGAAGATCAAGGACACTTTAGCAGATCCCAACATCACATGGGAGAAAAGAATAGACAATGTTAGTTTGTATTCACTGAGTAAAGTGCTATAGTGCTTCCTTCTTGTTCATATTTAATCACATTGTTTCACTCTGTTCTTGTCAGTTTTTTAATTCTGTTCTTGACTGTACTCCTCAGATAAAAATGCTACGTTCCTTATTATTAGCTGGAGCTGCAGATTACGATGATTTTTTCCAGTCATTACGTACATTAGAATCTGCATTTATACTTGTTGTAAAGGACCTACGATCACAGGTTGTTAGGGAAGGATGCATAACAATAGCGTATGTTTACATTCTCTTGCAACAACTATTATAAGCTCTATCGTATGAAATAAATGGTTCAATGGTTGATTGAAACGTTAAAATGTAGAAAGTAATTTACTTTTTTAAGTTAAATTATTTGTGGCAGTTGATTGAAAGTTGAAATGTAGAAAGTAATTTTTTTTTAAAATTAAATTTTTGGGGCCGTTGATTGAAAAGTTGAAATTAAATTATTTGTGGCAGTTGATTGAAAGGTTGAAATGTAAAAAGTAATTTATTTTTTTTAATTAAATTATTTGTGGATGTTGATTGAAAAGTTGAAATGTAAAAAGTAATTTATTTTTTCAAATTAAATTATTTGTGGCCGTTGATTGAAAAGTTGCAATGTGTACCCTCTGCCTGCAGGTACCTGTCCCAGCAACTTGGCACCAAGTTTGACCACTTTGCAGAGTCTGTGCTGCCCTCTCTTATAAACCTCATTCCCAACAGTGCCAAAGTCATGTCTACTTCAGGTGTTGTGTGTATACGATTTATCATGCAGGTAAGTCTAGCTGTACTGACCTATACTTACCAGAATATAATATACGAGCCTACTCGTGGCGTATCATACGCCGCTATTTAGTTGTTTTATTTTCTACTTTTCAGTCATTCATAATTTGTGAATTCGACAGTACCAATGCTGCCACTGAAAATATTTGCTTTAAAACACTACCCCCCCCCCCCCCCCCCCCCCTTTCCCCCAACCTACACCCCCCCTCCCCCGTGAAAGCAGCCTCCTCTTAGTTACCTCCTGTAAGTTTAAAATCGTTTCAAACTAAATTATCTGCCCATAATAGCCGTCACTAAACCCGGCTCTACCATTTGTACATTTAGTGTGAACCACAGCTCACCAGACCATGTGGGGGTGGGGTGGGGGTGGTAGTGATAGTGATAGAGAGGGGACTGCAAGGCGCGCTTGCAGCTTGTTTTCGAACGTCTCCCAGAAGAGAATTATATATATAGATATAGTATAAAAAAAAATTACTGGCCACTATACTCTTTATATTGACCAATCTCCAATTTTTATATTGACTAGTCTACAATCAAATTTAAAAGTATACCATTTATAAATTGACCAGTCCACCATCTTTACATCAGCCAATCTATCATCGTTATATTTTCTAGTCTACCATCTTTATATTTACATTAACCAGTCCACCATCACTGTCTGTTAGCGTAGCGTTAGCCCTTGTATCACATATTAACATGTCACTTTATGCAGATCAGTGGATTTAACCTGTTTAGGTTAGAAATTAAATAGATAGATAACCATACACATTGACCCTATAAAGTGATTGTTCTATTTGATCTTACCCACAGTTTGTTCACACCAACCGCCTCATTCCTATCATCACAAGCAATCTGACATCCAAGTCAAATGTCATCAGACGGTATGTATAGTTGTTAAAACAAGATATTTATAATTATAAGCAGTTTTTTAAAGTGAATGCTTCATCTGATGAAGGAAAATTGACACCACCACAATGGTAGAAATAGTCTAACTTTGTCAATTTAAAACTAAAAAATAACAGTAATAAATGATTTTATTAAAAACAATATTAGAATATTTTATTTTTTATTTTCTGTCATGAGTTTTCATGTTTATATTGTTTTTATTTCTGAACATTTTCAACTGAAATGTTTTTGATCAATAAACTAAAATTCCCTATTGAAGAGTACCTGCTGTTCAGTATGACTCCATACCTTCAATTTCTCTGTCCCCACAGCTCCTCATTAGAGTTTGTCAACCAGATTCTTCACTCAACAATTGTGTTTACCATATACTTCTCTGTCCCCACAGCTTCTCATTAGAGTTTGTCAACCAGATTCTTCACTCAACCATTGTGTTTACCATACATTTCTCTGTCCCCACAGCTTCTCATTAGAGTTTGTCAACCAGATTCTTCACTCAACCATTGTGTTTACCATACATTTCTCTGTCCCCACAGCTCCTCATTAGAGTTTGTCAACCAGATTCTTCACTCAACCATTGTGTTTACCATACATTTCTCTGTCCCCACAGCTTCTCATTAGAGTTTGTCAACCAGATTCTTCACTCAACCATTGTGTTTACCATATATTTCTCTGTCCCCACAGCTCCTCATTAGAGTTTGTCAACCAGATTCTTCACTCAACCATTGTGTTTACCATACATTTCTCTGTCCCCACAGCTCCTCATTAGAGTTTGTCAACCAGATTCTTCACTCAACCATTGTGTTTACCATACATTTCTCTGTCCCCACAGCTCCTCATTAGAGTTTGTCAACCAGATTCTTCACTCAACCATTGTGTTTACCATATATTTCTCTGTCCCCACAGCTTCTCATTAGAGTTTGTCAACCAGATTCTTCACTCAACCATTGTGTTTACCATATACTTCTCTGTCCCCACAGCTCCTCATTAGAGTTTGTCAACCAGATTCTTCACTCAACCATTGTGTTTACCATACATTTCTCTGTCCCCACAGCTCCTCATTAGAGTTTGTCAACCAGATTCTTCACTCAACCATTGTGTTTACCATACATTTCTCTGTCCCCACAGCTTCTCATTAGAGTTTGTCAACCAGATTCTTCACTCAACCATTGTGTTTACCATATACTTCTCTGTCCCCACAGCTTCTCATTAGAGTTTGTCAACCAGATTCTTCACTCAACCATTGTGTTTACCATACATTTCTCTGTCCCCACAGCTCCTCATTAGAGTTTGTCAACCAGATTCTTCACTCCTGGCCAACACATTGCCTGGAGAAACATATAGCTCTACTGCAGGATGTCATTAAAAAGGGGATTAATGATGCTGACTCTGAAGCCAGGGCACACTCTAGAAAGTGAGTAGATGTTTCTAATGAAGGGTTAGTGTTCTAGTAGGCTAACCAGAGAGCAACACCATTGGGAATGGGAAGTAAATTAAATGCTTTTTACTAAATTTTAAAAATTAATTTTTAAACTGTACATTGATGTATTTATGAAAGAAAAGTGGAGACTAATAAGCTGATTTTTAATGAGCATTTTAATCTAATTTTGATTTTTTTAATTTTATATTTTGGTATAAATTTGCACAATTGAATTTAAAAAAAAAAAATTTTAATTTAAAAATTACTAATAGGATACAATTTTTCCTGGTGTAGTTATGAGCCCTAGCAAATTTGAAGTTTTTAAGCATAATTAAAGCTTCAGAATTCAATGCATATACTATACTAAAAACCCAACAGAAACATTTTTTATGACAAATAACTATAAGTCAAATATTGAAAAAGTAGGGTTAGTGGATGCAATTAATATAGTACCAGGCTATTTATTTGCGTTCAACTTTCCATTTGAAATTATTTAGTGTTTTTGCAAGGGATTCAGATGCATATCATTACAATACTTCACCCATTCATAACACCAGTATGTATTTTGGCAACTTTGTCCTAGTGGCTTTCTTGTCTCCTCAGGCATCTAGTAATTTTAACACCAAAATTGTTTAACTTGTAGAGCATTCTGGGGGTTTGCTGACCACTTCAAGTCTCAAGCAGACGCCCTTCTTCTCTCCCTGGACCCTTCTAAACAAAAGATGTTACAAGGTGAGGTCAGCAATTCATCCTCCAGCTCTAGTCTCAATGGAGATGTCCGGCCAAGGTCTAGGTCACGTGCAGCCAGTGAGGAGCGGTCTGCATATGGTCCAAGGTAGGCAACATGGAACAGACAGTCTAGATGTTAAGTGCTAGCTGCATAGCATGAACATAGGACAGTACAGTACTTCAGTCTAACAGCAAGGACAGTTTCAGTACCTAGGTTCAAAATAGAAAATTACAGTACCTTGTTCTAAAATAGCTAGGACAGTAGAGTACCTGGTTTAAAATGCAATAGTACAGTACCGAGGTCGAACATAGCAAGGACAGTACCAAAATCTAAAATAACTGTCCTTGCTATGTTCGACACTGTCTTTGCTGTTTGATGTAGGCACAGTACCTAGGTTTAAATTAGAGCAGCACAGTGCCTACATCAAACAGCAAAGACAGTGTCGAACATAGCAAGGACAGTACCGAAATCTAAAATAACAAAGTCACAGTGCCTAGGTTTAAAATAGAGCAGTACAGTGCCTAGGTCAAACAGCAAAGACAGTACTGTACCGATGTCTTAAACAGCAAATACCACAACTAGGTTGACACTTGCAAGGATAGTAAAGTACCAAGGTATAAGAAAGCAAGGAAAGTACCGTACCTTACCTAGACAAAACATAGCCAGAACATTTCGTCTAGTACTTAGGTTCAATCAATGTAACAAACTAGTCTAACACCAAAGTAACAGTCTACTTCTGGTTCAACAATGGTATTTACTTTGTTATATATGAACCCCCCACAGCCAAGGTACAGCCTCCTATAAAAAGGTGACTCAAAGAATCAGCTCTTCCAAAAGTGATGCTGGGGGTAAGATAATTTTTAAAAATATTTTTAATGGTTGCCATGGTTATACATCTTGTTAATGAATGGTTCCATCATTTTCAAATATTTCAAATATTTTTTCTTGAATGATTGTTCTTGATGTTCGGATTGTTCAAATTTTCTTTCTACTTTGTTTTAAGTAATATTTTCTAGATAGTTTTGAAGCTCTTTTTACAATTCAAATGTTAAAACTTCTCGGTTTTACTGTTACATTTGTTTGTTTTCTCATCATTTTTCCACCCCTCTAACTTGGCCATTCTTTCCATCTGGTAACCCATTATAGTGGGTTATTTTATTCCTGTTTATAGATATACAACCCTTATTTTTTAGTCATCTCTTTTGGCTGACAAAACTCTCCTTATATTTTGTAAGTGTTATCCTTTACCCTCCCCTCTACCCAAAAACGGGTATCCTCTTTTGTTAAACTTTGTACATGTCCTGAAGTATGCTCTGTTTTTGATTCAAATCTCATTATACAATAAAGATGCAGATTTGGATAGTGACCTTGACCCCATGGCTCGGAGAGGTAAGAGGTTATCTATCTCTGTTTCATCTGTCTGCTTTAATCCTTCATTGGACTGTATCATCTCATCAGTCAGTTGATTCCTAATATGACTGTATCATCTCATCAGTCAGCTGATTCCTAATGTGACTGTAACAATTCATTCCATCAGTCAACTGATTTCTAATGTGACTGTAACAATTCATTCCATCAGTCAACTGATCTCTAATATGACTGTATCATCTCATCAGTCAGCCTTAAATTCATTATTTGACTTGCTTCTCATCAGTCAACTAATTCTTAATGTTTTTAAATACATTGTCAGTCCACTATAAACTCATTTGACTGTAACTCCCCCATCAGTCAACTGATTTCTAATATGACTGCATCACCTCATCAGTCAACTGATATCTAATATGACTGCATCAATTAATCAGTCAACTGATTTCTAATATGACTGCATCAACTCATCAGTCAACTGATTTCTAATATGACTGCATCATCTCATTTTCATTTGACTTTAACAGATTTGTTGTTTTATCATGCCTCAATCAATTATAAATGACTTACTTCACTTTTAATAATAACACCATTATCCAGTTGTGGCCAGTTGTTCTTAGTTTCTAGCTTGATTTGTTTTATTGATTAAAATCAACATTAGTCGCAGTATCTCTAGTTAACTGATTCACTAGCCATCTTTACAAAGTATCTCTAGTTAACTAATTCTCTAGCCACTTTCAATTACATATATTAACAAATAAGCAAAAAGTGCTATTTTTATATTGATACAACAAATTACTAAAATCAACATTACTAACATAAAAGAATCCATTTTTGTAGGTTTATTTAATCAATATAATCACAACACCACTTATAATATTGCACTTAACTTGTAATATATCTATTTACATACCTAATACTAGCTAACTTATGTAATTGAAATATTTTTTTCTTAAATGTTACACAATTCTCCAGTTAGAAAACAACTTAATTTGAAAATTTAGCTTGACTTGTTTCATTTCATTTGCATTGGCGCAAGTCCAATGAAATCACTCCTCAAATCTTCTCACTGTTATTGAGTCACACCATACAACTTCACTTCTCTGATGTTTTTCTTCTCTCGTTTTATTGCATGGGTATGCTTCAAATGTCTTGTTGAGCAGCTGATGTTAATACATGTTTTTTTTTATAACTTGCCTTTGATGAAGCCAAAACTGAATGTGTTGTTTTAATTCAGCCCCAGCTGTTTTCAGTACTTAGTCAGACCGTTGTACCAGAGACCCTACAACAGCTTCTAGATTTCCTTGCTTTTGTTCCAATGGAGCCTCACGTTTCACCCATTAATTTCATTCTTTGTTTCGGTTGTATTATTTCACATGTATGCTTTAAGTTATTATTTTTATTCCTTTTACAAATAGCTCAATTATATTTTATTTTTATAAAAGCATGATTGTGCTTCAATATAGTAGCTTATTTCCATAATTGCTTCCTTAATTTTTCTCATAAATCAATACAGCGAATGCACTATTTAAATTATGTGTAGGTTACCTAAGTTTGTTAAGGAAAAAAGGAATTTTCAAAATGTAAAAAAATGAATACGTAGTCCAATAATAATTTAATATTTAGATTTGGAATAGAGAATGAAAAATAGCAATAAAACATACTCAGGACATCCCTTTAGACAGCTTTATAAGATTTAATTCTAGGCTGTAGTGGTTAGAAGCTGAACTGTAAAATTTTAAACAAGAACAAGACAGATTGTTAATATAATAGTGAAATAGGCAGTAGATTATTCTAATTTTTATAAAGGTAAACAACACCAGGATAGGTTGACAAAAAAAAAATTAAAATAGATGATAGTTTGCTAGAAGCGGAAAAGTGAAATGAGGTGATTTGGAACCAAGCAATGGAGATCACTCAAGAAAAAGCCAGTTCTTCATAGCCTACCAGCATGCACAGGATTTAATATCAAACCTATGTCCTCACCCCTCAGATGTAGGCTATACACCTCGCAGCCGCACATACTCTGGCACCAGCAATGGCAGCACATCCAGCAATTACTACAACAACCAGCACTACAACACCATAGGGCATAATAGGCACCGGACCAACACAGGGCCCAAGCAGACTGATGTAGAGGCCGGGGGTCTCCTGCGCTCCTCCAGTGCCACGGATGTCAACTGTTTGCGCACCCCCAAGCCCCGAGCCACCCTGCTGACCGCGGCTCGCATTGCTAAAGGATCCACCAACTCACTGCGTAAGATGTGGTTAAAGTAGTCAAATCAGGATTGTTAAAACCATTCCAAGTTTCATTGGCTCAAACTTGTTGAGCAAAAAAATATTTCAAAAAAAGGATATTCAGTTTATCTTTTGTCCAATTCAGAAATAGTCATCTCTTGGCTGAATTTTTCTTTATTTTATCACATTTTATAGATTTCTAAGCATGTGCAATAGCAAAAAAAAATTAGCTACCATTTTCACACTTAATAGCCATATGCACTATGTAAATAAACTTCAGACATAATTTGTTTTCAAATGCTCAAAGGCTGAAATGTCTGCTTATTTCTTGTTAAATGTATTTAAATATATTTATTTCTAATAAGATGTAATATTTCTGTTGCTGCTTTATCATGTAGTCGTCAAATGAAATATTTAAAGTTAATTTTTTTTTTAAATATTTAGGAAAACTTGTTAATTTAATTTGCCAATGAATTCTAATTTGCTTGGTGGCATATAAAATTTGCAATTGTTAGGTTTCATGCCGTGTTGCGTTGCTTTTCATGTCTTATTTGGCAAGTTTTGGTTTTCCAGCACGCCAAAAATCTAGTACGTCTTCTGTTAGCTCAGCTTATGACCTCCTGACCCCAGAGCGCAGTACTAAACCTCGGATAGGTGTATCACAATCCCAGCGTGAGTAACAGAAACCCTCCCTTCACCCATTTTGTTTATTTTAAAGTTAATTTTGGCTTGAAAATTGCATTTTGTTGTATGAGAATCAATTATTAGCTACTGCATTGTTTATAAGCTTGTTTGGTGCCTGATATTATACAGAACTTTTTCAAAATATATTTATACTCTGAGCATGCTAAGGGACGTAACTCCCAAGTAGGGGAGATAACAATAAGTGACTGATGCAGTTCTATGAGTAAGAACCAGCTTGTCAGTACAATCTAGATATCCTAGTATTAGGTTTTTTCTTAATCAGAAGATTTTTCCTGATTTTTAAAAAACATGTTAAAAAAACAAATCCTTTGTTATCATATAACAAGGATGTAAATGTTCTATCTTGGTTATGTTTTAGTTTTTTCATTGTTGCTTTCAATGTTCAATTGTTATTTTGCTTTGGAACTGATATTTTAAAAGTTGCATGAATAGTATTTGGGTTCATAGAAAAAAAACTTTCATCCCATTCATTTTTCAAGTGCTAGAAACTGCTCATTAGACTCATTTTGGGTAGTTATTTTAAGGTTCCTCCAAACTTCAACAGTGTTTTAAATATCCTGTTAGCTCATTAGTGTTAGATCTTTTTTATTTATTCAATGCAAGCATGAATAAGTAAATGGTAGACTATGTGATAGATGTAGACAGAAAATTTAAAGAGGAAACTTTATTAGATATTTTTAAAGGATTGAATTGTTTAATTATACGATGTGAGTAGAAATTGTAAACTTTAAACTTAGATAAAGCTTTTACACCAGTCATACATTTTTACACATTTTAAAATTTTAAATTCCCCCCCCCCCCCAAAATTATATATCCATTTAATATAAGCCTTGTGCCCAATAATAATATATCAGATTGTACCATGAAAGTAGTGTAATCTAAGTCATATAGTGAGATGAAAGTAGTGTCAAGTTCTGCTACTTTTTCCTGCTTAAAGATATTAATCTTACATTTTGGCATCTGATCCTTGAAAGAATGTAATGTTGACCATCACCAACCTATTGTTACAGGCAGAGCTTCATCATCAGAGATTTTGTTAAGAGTCCAGTACAATAGCAATGGTTCATAGATCTCTCTTTTATTGATGTTGTCCTCTGTTCTTTCTTTACTTTCCTTACATCAGACATACACATCTCATGCATGTCTATTTTCATATTTAACATAATAGTAGGTCGTAAGATTGCCAGAAAATAGTTTTAGCACAGACTATTTTTTTTTATTCTGATTTTAACTATTATCTCTTAACTAGTACTAATAAAAACATGAGAATCTAACCATAACTCATGGCTGACTATATAGTAACAAACCTGTAACCACTAACCTAACTTAACCATCGTGTTTGCTTTTTTTTATCTTTTTAATAAGTTTAATGATACATTTGAAAATAAAATTGGTTCAATTTGTATAAATCATCAAACATTTTCATTTAATTTGCAACTATTTTAAATTCTATTTTTTTTAACGTATGTTTAAAAACTGATCATAAACTTGACCTTATTCAGTCATTTTACTAAAATAAACCCGAGCATTAATTATTTTATAGTTTTGTAAATAATTAAAATAAATTTCCCATAAAATATGCATCTGAAAATTGTTGCAATCAAGGAGAAAATTGTCCAGCTAAATGTAAAAATAGTTTTTCTTAACACTAATGGCATCTGTTGTTTTTTCCAGCCAATAGCAGATCAAACTCCCCCTCCTCTACTAGGCGACAGCTAGTGTATGCCAAACAAACCCCTGCCCGTGTTGATACGGGACTGGGTCCAAAGCGCACACGGATACCTGGGTCTCACAGTCAAGGTACTAGCAGAGAGGCTAGTCCAGCCAGAAGCTTTAAAAGTCAGTGGTGTTTCATGCTCTTTGTCTCATGCTCTTTATCCGCATTCTTTGTTGCATGTACCACCTTTGGCCTTTTACTTTAAGTAGAAGCAACCTTTGACCTTCTGTTTTAAATAAAGTTGTATCAACCTTTGACCTTCTGTTTTAAATAAAATTGTATCAACCTTTGACCTTCTGTTTTAAATAAAGTTGTATCAACCTTTGACCTTCTGTTTTAAATAAAATTGTATCAACCTTTGACCTTCTGTTTTAAATAAAGTTGTATCAACCTTTGACCTTCAGTTTTAAATAAAGTTGTATCAACCTTTGACCTTCTGTTTTAAATAAAGTTGTATCAACCTTTGACCTTCTGTTTTAAATAAAGTTGTATCAACCTTTGACCTTCTGTTTTAAATAAAGTTGTATCAACCTTTGACCTTCTGTTTGAAGCAGGTCAAGAACGAAGATTAAGTGGCAGCAGCAAAGTCAGCAGTGGTCGCAAAAGTAAGTCATGGGTTTGTTTGTCTTCTGTGCTGAGAGGTTGTGTCTGTCTTCTGTGCTGATAGATTTGTCTGTCTTCTGTGCTGAGAGCTTTGTCTGTCTTCTGTGCTGAGAGCTTTGTCTGTCTTCTGTGCTGAGAGATTTGTCTGTCTTGTGTGCTGAGAGATTTGTCTGTCTTCTGTGCTGAGAGCTTTGTCTGTCTTCTGTGCTGAGAGATTTGTCTGTCTTCTGTGCTGAGAGATTTGTCTGTCTTCTGTGCTGAGAGATTTTCTGTCTTCTGTGCTGAGAGATTTGTCTGTCTTCTGAGCTGAGAGATTTGTCTGTCTTCTGTGCTGAGAGATTTGTCTGTCTTCTGTGCTGAGAGATTTTCTGTCTTCTGTGCTGAGAGATTTGTCTGTCAGAATATCTCTGCCCAGAAATTAGCCTGGTTAAATATCTTGTCTAGTGCAATATTAACCTGGTTAAATGCTGAAAGATTAGCCTAGTTAAATGCTGAATGATTAGCCTGGTTAAATGCTGAATGATTAGCCTGGTTAAGTGCTGAAAGATTAGCCTGGTTAAATGCTGAAAGATTAGCCTGGTTAAATGCTGAATGATTAGCCTGGTTAAATGCTGAATGATTAGCCTGGTTAAATTTTGAATGATTAGCCTGGTAAAATGCTGAATGATTAGCCTGGTAAAATGCTGAATGATTAGCCTGGTTAAATGCTGAATGATTAGCCTGGTTAAATGCTGAAAGATTAGCCTGGTTAAATGCTGAATAATTAGCCTGGTTAAATGCTGAAAGATTAGCCTTGTCTTGTGTAGAAAGTTGAGCATTGAATGCCCATGAAATGACCTTTGTCCTCCTTGTGTCCCCAGCTCCAGTGTTATCACAACGGGTACTGCGCCATGGCTCTGATGTGGAGGATGCTTTACAAGATGCCTTGGTATTAGCTCTTTCTCCTGCAACATTTATTCTAATAAGGTTCTTCTCACCAGGTGGTAGATAGAGTAAACATACAGATGGTGTAGTATTATAAACTGTTATGTGACTCGATTATGTACTGAATCCACATAAGTACACTTTTTACATTGCTGATTAATGTTCATAGTCTTGTCTATACTGGAGACTTTGAAATAAGTTTAGTTTGAGGATTTAGCAAACATGATTTAACATTGAAAGACTATGTTGTATGAGGTGTTACTTGTTTACCCACTCTACTCTAAAGGATCACAACATAGACACTACCACATAAGTCTATATGAAATGTTAATTCAACATTGTATATGCCAAAGGGCCATATCAAATACGTTATAATCAGTACCACAGAAGTCTATATAAAATGTTAAATCCACCATTTTCCCTCTCTAGTCCAAAGGGCCACAACAAATACATTATAATCAGTACCACAGAAGTCTATATAAAATGTTAAATCCACCATTTTCCCTCTCTAGTCCAAAGGGCCACAACAAATACATTATAATCAGTACCACAGAAGTCTATATAAAATGTTAAATCCACCATTTTCCCTCTCTAGTCCAAAGGGCCACATCAAATACATTATAATCAGTACCACTGAAGTCTATATAAAATGTTAATTCCACTGTTTTCCCTCTCTAGTCCAAAGGGCCACAACAAAGACGCTTTGATCAGTACGACTCTGATGACGCAGCCAGTGAAACATCAAGCGTCTGCTCAGAGAGATCCCACAGCTCCTATGGTGGGCGCACGTCTGAGGTAAGTCCAGCTTGCTTTAGTTGTACCTTTCTCACCTGCATCTTGTTGTAAGCAGCTCCAGACAAAATTGTATCATAACCCGTTTAGTTTGCCTTTTATACCAGACAAAATTGTATCATAACCCATTTAGTTTGCTGTTTATACAAAAAAAAATGAATTCCTTCTTATTTTCATGTGTTGGGTGGTTTACACTAAGTGCTTCTCCATCCTGTGCAACTTGTTGCCTGTTGGTGTCATCATATTCATCATCTGCTTCTCCACCTTCACACACTCGGTTTTTCTATGATCACCAGCAAGGCTAGGCAGTATTGATTAAAGTTGGGTTTTTTTTCTGTAGTTATCAGGGTTAGAGTAGGGATGTTACACATGTAGGTTCAATACAATCTGCCTGTGATCATGGAAGTACCCCAGAATCTTCTTAACCAGCTCACACTATTCACAACTTGTTGTACAAAGCTGACATTAAGCTATACCATTTCTCTTAGTCCCCTGACTATTCACAACTTGTTGTACAAAGCTGACATTAAGCTATACCATTTCTCTTAGTCCCCTGAGGCAGACCGCAAGTACCAAACACACAGAAAGGTACCCCGCCCACCTTGTTTATAGTACACAGTTGTTTTCTATGTGCCTCCATACTTGTTTGCAGTTCAGATTTTTTTGTATTTTTATTCTCCCTTAGTGTCATTTACTGTGGTATCAAAGTTTGTGTCAGTGTCATGGTTTTTTTTTTATGCATGGATGATGTTTTCTAATTTCTTTTTCAAGTTTCACATCAGGACTGAATTTTGTACTCAGTAATAGTGATATCAGGGTTTATAATTACCATAGATACTAATGTATAACACAACTTTCTTACTTTCGGTGTACAGATTCAGTTTGAAATTCTACCTACTTAAGCTCCTCCCACAACTCACTAAACACTTTGTGCTGATTGGGCATATAACACCAGACAATATATAATACAACTTTCCCAACTTTAGGTTTACAGACTCTTTCTAAACTTCTCCTTAAGCTCCTCCCACAACTTATTTGTGTCTATAACTGGCTAGATTCATTGGATAATTTAAACATCTATTAACAAATGGGTTATATCTTTTAATTCAACTTAAGGGAGTAAGGAGCTTCTTTATTAATTAATACAAACTGATTATGAAAAAAAAAATTAAAGTGAAATGAGAATCATACATCAGATCTACAGTTGCACCCTGTCTGTGAAGGCTTGAGAATCATTTAGTTTTGTTTCAGTAGTTTTCACTTAGCTTTTAACCTTTTGTTTCTACCTTATTTTGTAATAAGTCAGCTTGATTTCACAAGTTGACTAGGATAGGAGTCTTCCTTCACAACAGTGTTTGGTGTTATCTCGTTTATACTTTGTTGTCACTGTGCATTCAGAGTACAGTAAAACTTTCCTTTTTGTGTCCCCGCCTACATCTAGTAAACAAGTCTCCCATCACAGCAGTCTTTTGTGGTATCTTGTTTATACTTTGTTGTCACTGTTCATTCAGATTATGTTGAAACACATTTTTTTATGTTTACACCAATCATAAATGCACATTATTTTTTTACAACCACGCGCAAATCAGTGCACAATAACTTTAGCTACTCACTCTGTGTACATAAGCAATTTCTATTTTCCACTGTTTAATACATGTGAACAATATATTTTTTTATCTAAATGTTTATTTGCATTCCTGTTCAAAACTATTTAGACAATTCATTGTAACGGAACATCACTATCTTTGATATTTGTAACATAGCTTAAATTGTAGCTTAAATTTGAAGCTATAGACCTGTATTATAGACTTAAAGTATAAGTAAGTGATATTTTAAAATATAAAATTCAAGTTTTTTTTTATATGGGAAAGATAACTTTTTAGAGGAGCAAATTAGAGGGGGGCAAGATTCAGTTTGCTAGAGGAGCAAGATACTCTTTGTAAGAGGGGGGCAATATTCTGTTAGTAGATCAAGGCTCTGTTAGACATTCATGGCTGTGTTTGTCAGGCATGGCTGTGTTTGTCAGGCATGGCTGTGTTGGCCAGGCATGGCTGTGTTGGCCAGGCATGGCTGTGTTGGTCAGGCATGGCTGTGTTGGTCAGGCATGGCTGTGTTGGCCAGGCATGGCTGTGTTGGCCAGGCATGGCTGTGTTGGTCAGGCATGGCTGTGTTGGTCAGGCATGGCTGTGTTGGTCAGGCATGGCTGTGTTGGTCAGGCATGGCTGTGTTGGTCAGGCATGGCTGTGTTGGTCAGGCATGGCTGTGTTGGTCAGGCATGGCTGTGTTGGTCAGGCATGGCTGTGTTGGTCAGGCATGGCTGTGTTGGTTAGCATTCTTCTAGTTAGGACACAGATCCAGTGGCTAGAACATGATTTCTCTCTCACTAGCAGCCAGCAATGAAGCCACTACCCCTCTACCACACAGCTCACTACATGTCAGAAGGGGGGGGGGGGAACAATTTTTATAAACCAACTGTAAGAAAAAAGCATCGATAATCTGACTGCTAGATCATACACAGGTTGTGTTTCCTCTGGCACTTAAGTTTTTCCTACCACACAGCTCATTACATGTCAGAAGGGGGGTAAATTTGTATTCCCCAGCTGTAACAAAAAAAAAATGCTAGATCATACACAGGTTGTATTCCATCTAGCACTGACTGGCACTTTAGTTTTTCACATTGAACATGTAACTTTGTATTTGCTTGGATCCTTCAGTTTTTTCTTTTGTCTGGATATTTTTCAAACCTTGAATGTCACCAAATGATGTTGTCACTACTCCACCACCTTTTTTATCTCGTACACAGTGTATATCTGTCTGTTTGCAGTGTTTCAAATTTCTTTTTATAAAATTATAAGATTTTTAAAAAAATATTTGATGTAACTAGTTACTATAAACTGGGACTGTTTTAAACATGCTTCAAGCAATACATGAAACAAATTTTTAAGGCTAATTTTAAACAATTAATTTCATATTTTAATCTATGAACAAAATAAGTGTGATAAAAGGCTACAAGCCAGTATAATTTAAGTTCTATAATTTAAAGATATATCTTATTCTGGGAATATTCACTCTTTTCATCTGCTGCCTACCTATTGCAGTCAAGGGGAAGAACCAGGTCATTTTCTTCAGGATATGGCGTTACAGAGGTGATTGTCTCTCCTTGATATATTCACCTTTTGTGCAAAACATATACACATACACTCATCCCTAAATATGAGAACTGTTTACGTTGCTGCTTAGTTTACTCACTCTTCATTCAGTTTAAGTTAAATATAATTGCTCACCTTAATACAGGGGTGTCCAACCAGCCTTAACCCTGACAGGTAGTGCTGAGCCCCAAGGCAGGTCACTGAGAATACACAAACACACTTAATAAGACATGTTTGTGTGTTTGTTGCGTTGCTTGTCTTGGTATGATGCTTGTACATTCATATTGACAAGTTTTGTACAGATGTTGGACACCCCTGTGTTAATGATTACGTTCAGACACTGATGGGATCATATAAAATTCAGACACACATGAGTATATTAATTGACATATTCAGACACACAGGAGTATATTAATTGACATATTCAGACACACAGGAGTATATTAATTGACGGAATGATATAAAATTCAGACACACATGAGTATATTAATTGACGGAATGATATAAAATTCAGACACACATGAGTATATTAATTGACGGAATGATATAAAATTCAGACACACAGGAGTATATTAATTGACGGAATGATATAAAATTCAGACACACAGGAGTATATTAATTGACGGAATGATATAAAATTCAGACACACAGGAGTATATTAATTGACGGAATGATATAAAATTCAGACACACAGGAGTATATTAATTGACGGAATGATATAAAATTCAGACACACAGGAGTATATTAATTGATGGGATGGTATAAAGTTCATACACATAGGACTATATTATGAATTAATGGGATGAGTGTACATGCCAGTTTTCTACCATAGTTTGGCTATCATGTAACCAGCTATATGTATCATACGTGGATATTATTTTCACCTCTAGCTTCTAGTGATGTTTTTTGGCTGTGATTTTTAGCTGACACCACTTATGTAGTGTGCTGTGATTTTAGCTGACACCTATGTAGTGTGCTGTGATTTTAGCTGACACCTATGTAGTGTGTTGTGTGCATATAGCTGACACCACTTATGTACTGTGCTGTGATTGGAGATGACACCACTTATGTACTGTGCTGTTGTTTTTCAGCTGACACCACTGGTGTTTTTATCTTGTGTGTAGTGTGCTGTGTTTGTAGCTGACACCACTTAGTAGTGTGCTGTGGTTTTAGCTGACACCAATTATGTAGTGTGCTGTGATTGTAGCAGAAACACTGTTGTGTTTATCTTGTGTGTAGTGTGCTGTAATTTTAGCTGACACCACCTATATAGTGTGCTGTGATTGTAGCTGACACCACTAGTGTGTTTATCTTGTGTGTAGCGTGCTGTAATTTTTATCTGATGTTACTGGTGTGTAATGTCAATATGCTGTGATTTTTAGCAACATTCGTAATATGTAATGCCCATGTATGGTGTGTTGTGGTTTTAGCTGACACCACTAATGTGTGGTGATGGCTAAACCTTAAGCTAGAGACAAAACTATACTAGTACAGGCTATACAGCTAGACCTGATTTTTCTGTTATTTTGCTTTGCTAGCTTACCGTTACCTCAAGGTGCTTTTTTTAGGGCCATGACATAAGAGGCTTTCTTCACAGCATTGTTTAGTTTTTCATATGTTTACTATACACCATTGTTTCTTAGAAGAAAAAAAAGTTCCAGTATCATTCAGATATTATATGATAGAATAATTTATTTGATAGATTGATGCGAATAAATTTTTTTGTTGAAACAAAGCAGAAATCAAGCACCAAAACCATTGGCAGTGGCTACACCATGTTAGATTATTTATATCTGCATTCATCATTTATACTGACTAACTATCCATCATTATCATAGCACAAATCAATCCTGTTTCTCTTGATGTGTTCTAACATTATGTTGAACATTTTTTTCTTATGCTCTATCATCTTGTATTAATTAGAACCTGTTTCTCATGATGTCTAATCTTCCTGTACTAAGCCCAACCTGTTTCTCTTGATGTGTCCCATCATCCTGTACTGCCCAACCTGTTTCTCATCCTGTCTACCGCCAGCCAATATGTTAATGACACTAATAATAACTTTCTTCTCTAGGACATGCACTCCATCATAGCACAGCTGGGCAGCTCTTCACATTTAGACAGGAAAGATGGGCTGTTGTCCTTACAGCATTTACTGCGCAGCAACCGCTGTCTTAGGTAAGATGTTAATAGATGTAGAGGGCAGGGTGGCTCTTATTTCCTACACTACAAACATTATTGAAATAATAACTTGTGGGTTTGAGGGAGAAGGCTAAAACATAACTTTTTCTATTGAAGTTGTGTTTTTTTTTTCATTTTTAAGCTAATAAATTGTATATAACTTTTAACTTATAATTTTACCATCTCTGTATCTTAGCTTTAAAGTTTTGTCCTTGGTTGAATAAAACTCTTATGTTTCCATCTGACAGCCGGGTGGAACTTAAGAAAGTCTCAGAGATGTTTACAAGAATGTTTCATGACCCACACAGTAAAGTAAGTGGTGATTTTCTTTTCATTGCTTGTTCATTGTTTGTTTTTGTCAATTAGACATACCTTCTTATTTGTAGAGCTAGTACTAGCAATAGCTCTATTTTAACATTCAGATTTAAACCTAATAGCTTCAAGTATTGTTGACACCCACTCTAAGATGTGGGTTTGGCACATTAGTTATAACTTATATCATAGAACGTCAATTTTTAAATAAATACAAACTTTTATGTTGGGTTGTCACCTTATATCAATTAGCTTTTAAATTATTTTTTTTTTAAATTAATTAATGTGACACAAGAATAGCTGGAATTTCTGAAACAGTTTTTCCATTTAGAATTGAACACAAACTAGCCTCCCCCTACCTACCGCCCCCTCCCATACCCCTCAAATAAGCTTTTGTAAGCCTGTAGCACTGGCCAGCCTCATCTGGTAATGTTAACTACTTTTATAAACATGTAAACGTTACCCACTTTTGTTAACATATCCAAAATTATGTTATTTGTCTAATCTACTTTTAAATCTACTACCAACATAACGGATGAAAGAAGGCCAGAGCTCTTCAAGTTTCCCCTCCCACCCCCTTACAGCATGCTGACCCACCTAATGCAGCAGTTCACCTTCCCTTGTCCCCAGGTGTTCTCCGTGTTCCTGGACACCCTGATAGAGCTGGTCTACCTGCAGAGTGCCGAGCTGGGGGACTGGCTCCACATCCTCCTCCCACGTCTGCTCACCAAGGCAGGGGGGGAGATGCTGGGCTCAGTGGCCAACAAGGTCCTCAAAGCTTTGGATGTCATCAGGTTAGTGCACAGCTAATGCTGGACTCATTAGCTACAATATTTTTTAACTGAGTTTTACCACAGAGTTAAAATAGCTTTGGTCGATTAAATTGTAGTGAATTTATTTTAAAGTTAATTTTACTGTAATATTAAATACTTTTTGTAGACAAACTTACAGAGTTAAAATAGCTTTGGTCAGTCGATTAAATTGTATTGAATTTATTTTTAAAGTTAATTTTACTGTAATATAAAATACTTTTTGTAGACAAACTTACTGGGTTAAAATAGCTTTGGTCGGTCGATTAAATTGTAGTGAATTTATTTTAGCATTAATTTTACTGTAATATTAAATACTTTTTGTAGACAAACTTACAGAGTTAAAATAGCTTTGGTCAGTCGATTAAATTGTAGTGAATTTATTTTAGCATTATTTTACTGTAATATTAAATACTTTTTGTAGACAAACTTACAGAGTTAAAATAGCTTTGGTCAGTCGATTAAATTATAGTGAATTTATTTTAGCATTATTTTAACTGTAATATTAAATACTTTTTGTAGACAAACTTACATTTGAATTATAGGATAAACACAACTTTTAACCTACATTTTAGAAGTTACTTTACAAGGGAATAATTTACCTCGTTGAATGCTAAAGTTTGTTCCTGGCCATGTAAAGTGTACTAGAGATGGGTTATAAATTTTCTGGAGATATTTTTATCAACTTATTTTAAAAACTTGATTCTTGTTGCAGAGATTGCTTCCCCTTTGATCATCAGTTTAATACATTATCCAAGTTCATTGTTGATCAAGCACAAGGACCAAATTTAAAGGTTGGACATCATCATTTTCTTTCTCATATCATTCTCTTTAACAAAATCAAATGAATGTAACCGTGTGATAATCTGGCTGCTACACACTTGCAAAAGAATGTGTTGATACCTCCAATACATCAGAAACATATGTTTGCATGCATGTGAATAGTACCTTATGCTGATATCAGATATGGTGATACCTGAAAATCAATCAAGTACTTAAGGCCATTGAACTAAGGTGATTGAGAGTGAACTGAATGTTTCAGGTGAGGGTGTCAGTGTTGAACTACCTACACAGCCTCATCATCAGCATGGACCCTTCAGATTTCATCAACAGCATGGACGCCAGACTGGCCGTCTCAAAGGTTATAAGCTGGACCATAGAGCCTAGGAGCCCTGATGTCAGGAAGGTGAGGCTACTCTATGCAATCTTTACAACATTGCAGTGTTCTTATTCTTTGTTCTTATCTGTGGTGTTGGATAGGATTTCCTCCAACACAGTTATGTATTATGTGCCAACAAGTACCGTATGTCACATATGGCTAGTCGGCACATATGGCCAGTTGGCACATATGGCCAGTTGGCACATATGGCTAGTCGGCACATATGGCCAGTCTGCTCAGATTTCAGCCTGCCTTTTCCATCCAAGAATAATCTACAAGGTAGCAGTTGTTTCGTAGTGTTCTCTCCTAGTTGGGTTGCTGTTCCCAGCCATCATACCCAATCTGCCCGTGGTTCAAACTGAGGACTTTTCATTGTCCAATCTTGATATCATGTTTTTAATAAAATCACTATTGTGGGAGGCTGCTTCAGATGTATAGCATTAAACCCATATAGGTTCAAATGCTTGAATATTTCAACCTATGATGTATCCCTATAATGTAAGTTCACCCAGCTCCGTTGCTGAATATTCATCCCTTTTAGCTATTGAAACATACTCTAATACACTGATCAACATTTTTTTTATTAAAACAATTTTTGTTTTTCCACCAGGCGTCCCAGTCGGTATTGATAGCCTTGTTTAATCTAAACCCAGCAGAGTTCTCACTCCTGCTGTCTGAACTACCTAAAACATTCCAGGTAAGTAATGAAACATGATGGATGTATACATGTTACCACCAAACCAGAAACTTGATTCAGCTCACCCTAACTTTACATTTTCCCTGTAGGATGGGGCAACAAGGATACTGCACAGTCACATTAGATCTGCTAATGAAGGAACAGCTGATGTTTTATCTCCACGTAATGTAGCTAGTCCACCTGGACCAAATAGATCACGACCTCCTTCACGGTGAGTGCTTAACCCATAATCTTTTATTGTAAGGCCATTCCCTTTATGGTCTTACAATAAGGCCATTCCTTCCATTGTCTTATAGGCCTGTCCTTTCATTTATTGAACTAATAAACAGCAGAAACTAAGAAGGTCTCCTGTCAAGTTCTATTATTTTACTTTAGCTGACTCTGGTAGCATTATTAAATACCCCTAGACAAACGACGGCCTTATTGGCTAGTGCCTGAGTCAGTGTCAGCAACGTATTCGGCCGACAACTAGGCATCCAGACTGCAACATTATAGTCTGGTCTGCAACAATTCCCTCTATAATCCCTTTATCTTAAGTCCATTTCCTCCATAATCTCTTATTATAATGCAATTCTCTACATGTTCAGCTATTGTAAGGCCATTCCCTTTATTGTCTATGGCCATTAGCCGTCATTGTTATTTATGTTAGCTGTAAGCCCACTCTCTCCATAGTCTTATATTATCAGTTTACTTCCTCCTCTGCCTTTGGTCATCAGCTGATGAATTTTGTTCCTTTCAGAACTAGTCACGGGCACCCAGAAGATTTTGAAACAGAAAATCTGAACCCTGAAGATATCTTTAACTCCATAAAGAAGACCTCAGCAGACATCCAGAGCCTGAGCATCAGCAGCAAGCTGGAGCCTTACGATGATGTCAAGAAGAAACATGACTTCACCTCGCAGGACTCCGGCATCCAGGACCTGCGCATGGACAGTCCAGATGGGCTGGACCACAAGAGGGCTTTCTTTAACTATTCTCATGTAAGATGGTTTGCTGGCTTGTCTCTCTTGTTTACTCCCATTTTTATCAGCCACTATCTTTTTAAGGGCCATGATAAGGTTTTCAAGGAAAGAGACTATATGTCTGCTTTTAGAATTAAAAAAAAATTTCTTAAGCAAAACTGATGTGGCCAACTTGTAATCAAATTTTAGGAGATTTTCTCCAGATATTTTGAACAAAATTGTTGATGTAGGTTATTCTACTAGCTTTGAAAATTATATTTTCTAAAAATTGTCCGTAATGTTTATTGGGAACAGCTTGGCCTAGCAGTAGAGCGCTAGACTGCTAACCTGAAAGACTCGAGTTCGAATCTGGGTTCAAATTAGTAGAATGTCCCTGTTCACCCAGCCCTGATGATTACCTAACTCACATTAGGGAAAGCAAAGTGTGTGGGCATAGTGCTGACCACACTATCCCTTCATATGCTGAGGTCTCAGAAACACGTGAACTCTACCTCACTTGCCCCATGAACCGTCAGGTTTGAAAATGAAACTTAATTTCCCTAATATTTATCTGACTTTGACTACATGCTGGTCACAAATGGCAGTACACTGATGTGATATCTCTTGCACTGTTTTTATTACCCTCTACTTTTTGGTTAGCCATAGCCTCATGTTGGTACACCTAGTGTAACCATATATTTCATCCCCAAATCAAACCTTATAACCTAATCTTACAGATTAATAAAAAAAAATTAAACTACACTAGCTGTAAAATTATGAGTGTAGAACAAATCATTCTAACATAGGTTAGTGTTTAATTAAATTAGGTCTCACCATCTTGACCATTTTGTCATCACTATGTGGAAAGAAAATGTGATAGAAAACTTGACAATGTACTAACTCTTGATGGGATCTCCAACAGAAATCTGGTGGTAGCCTAGGCAACGCCAGCAGCACTCTGGCTGGTGGTCTGTACACCAAGAATGAGTCGGACATGTCGGGAGAGGAAGTGAGCAAGATTCTCTGTGATGTGCTGGAAGAGCTCTCAAACCACAACGAGAGGTGAGTCATGTGTGAGCTGTGTTTGGTGTTTGTCTGTTAGTCTGTATGTTTGTTGGTTGTTATGTGGACCCATGGGTGAGGAAGTGAGCAAGATTCTCTGTGATGTGCTGGAGGAACTCTCTAACCACAATGAGAGGTGAGTCATGTCTAGACACAGTCAGCTGTGTTTGTCAGTTGGTCTGTTGGTCTGTATGTGTGTTGGTTGGTTGTGGACCCATGGGAGAGGAAGTGAGCAAGATTCTCTGTGATGTGCTGGAGGAGCTCTCTAACCACAACGAGAGGTGAGTCATGTCTAGACACGCTGGTTTTTTGTTTGGTGTGTTTAGTCTGTATGTTCGTTGGTTGTTTGTGGACCCACTGGTCAGTATGTTGGTTGGTTGTGGACCCTCTGGTCAGTGTGTTGGTTGTTTGTTTGTTCACTGGTCTGTATGTTTTATGTTTGTATGCTGATCTGTTTGGTGTTAGTTGTTTCCTTTACCAGTAAGTACTATGTCAACTGCCTTTTCAACAAGTTTGTTCATTACTGTTTTTCTAACCAGTAAGTCATGAGGACTCATTTGGCTTAGTTATTATAGCTGAATCCATACATGCATCTAACACTCCAAACACATCTGCAAACACCAAAAATTTGGTATATATTACCACCTGTCTATATCACAAATTTGTGTATATTTCCACCTCTCTATACCACAAATTTGTGTATATTACCACCTGTCTATACCACCAATTTGTATATATTACCACCTCTCTATACCACCAATTTGTGTATATTTCCACCTCTCTATACCACCAATTTGTGTATATTTCCACCTCTCTATACCACCAATTTGTGTATATTTCCACCTCTCTATACCACCAATTTGTGTATATTTCCACCTCTCTATACCACCAATTTGTGTATATTTCCACCTCTCTATACCACCAATTTGTGTATATTTCCACCTCTCTATACCACCATTCTCCCACAGAGTTGAAGAAAGGAAAAATGCTATGCAGTGTTTCCAGAGTCTGGTGGACAAAGGTGCCGTGTCGCAGGAGATTCTAGAGGAACATTTCAAGTCTCTGCTCTTGATATTGTTGGAGACTCTGGGGGACACCAATGTAAGTTCTGGCTCTAGGGGGCTCTGGTTCTACTGGGCTTTATTAGGGGCTTCATGTTCTACTGGGCTTAAATAGGAGGCTCTTGTGCTCTAGTGGGCTTTTTCAGTGAAGTGCTCTATGTTCAACCTTAAGATGTTTATACAACCTATTAAAACCATTGATGTTAACACTACTGGGGGTGTAGCCACAAGATGTTCAAACCAAAATGTTTCTGTCTCTAGGGAGATGTCAAAGTGCTGGCACTGAAATGTCTTCAGAAAATGTTGCAGCATTTCCCCAAGCAGTTTGAGAACTTTGCTGAGCTGACCATTCTGAAAGTTCTGGAGCTCCACAAGGATGACACCTACCGTGATGTAAGTCTCAGCTCCTCAAATCTGCCTGGCATAGTTTGGTTTTAGCTTTCTCTTCCTCTTTGTTTTATCACACCCTTCTTTTTAAGATATTTAAGAAAAAAATTTCGGGGGGGAGGGGGGTCATAAATTTTTTGAGAGTGGATTAACATGGATTATTTCTATTGTTTTAGCCATATGAAAGAAAAAGTAATAGGCACTGTGTAAGGTTTTTTTTCAAGAGTTATGTTGGGATTTTTTCCCCGTTACTGAAGTTGTAAAATTTTGTAATTAAAACTTGTCATTTTCAAAGTTTTTTAACATATATTTATGTTGTTGAATAGTTCTGTTAACCTAATTACTTTTCATCTTAGTAAAATGAGTCTCCAATTTTATTCATGCCCTGCTTAAAGCCACTAGCTTAATTTATTCTTTGCTGCCTTTTTGTTTTTGAAAATCTCAAATAGTGGTATCACATTTAAGTGCTAAATACTTTGCCATTGGTGTCACACACTTCATTTGAATCAGGTCAACCATTACAGATCTTTTACTTTCCTATCCCTTTTTTCTTTGTTTTTTTTCCACTCCTTAAATCAACCAATCACTACACTGTCAGTTGATTAAACATGGCAAGTAGTATATGACTAGTTACATTGATTTGTTGGCTAATTAATTAATTAAAGCTAGAAGTGACTAAGCCTTAGTGTATCAACTCTCTATCCCGCCATAGCAGCCTTGGCTAAGTATTGCCGTAAGCAAAATCATCAATACCAAACCATCTTTTGTACTTCGCATAAAGGATATCATTTTTTGTTCTACTTTTGTCAGCTGTAGCGTCAGGTTTGAGGCAGGCCCTACTCGGCCTCCCTGTGTGCACCAGTGCTTCAAGTGCTCGCTTAGATCCCCTTAACACGCTGGGCACGTCTGCCTCAACCCTTGACCTGGGCACCTTCGGAACATCAGACCTGAAAAAATTTATCCGATGCTCCTTAAGTGCCCTGTTCTTTCCTTGTCTTTTTCTCATTTTTTTATACTATCTAAATTTTGGACATATTTTTTCGTCGTGTCGTTTGCCTCAGAAGCGCAAGAAGAAGGTAAACTAACAATTCTAGTCTTTACGGAAGACTAATTAAATTTATAGTCTTGACTTCTTTTTCTAAACATTTTGTTTGTTTTGTACCATTTTTTTTTTTTACAATATGAAAAGAATTTTTTTTTTAATTTTACAAAGCAGTGTTGATTGTGAGCAAGAAAAGTTTATGAAAATTAAAATGCAGTTAGCACAATTTGTTGTAAACTGTATGGAGCAAAGATAAGATGATTTGGGCGTTAGGTTTTGTTTTTTTTAAAATTATATTTACACACGCTGATAAAATTCTATGTTTTAATCAAATCCTAATAATTTCTAATACAAATTATAAAAAGATTTTTTAAAGGTCACCTCTGGTCTCATTCGATTAAGACAAAAAAGTTTAAATGTCCTTATCTGTGCTTCTGAGATTATGTGTGTGTTAGTTTAGTTTATATTAGTGTCTCATGCTTTTTCATTATGATTCCTTTCTCTGTAGTTAGCATAAATGTTTAGCTTGTGTTCGATGGCTAGCTGTACACTTTATTATGGACGCTGTACTGAGGCCAGAGAATACCCTCAATTAACTTTAATTGCCGGAGATTCGCTCATCTAGATTTGAAAACGAATTGATTAGCAAGAACAAGGCAGTTAAATGTTATTTGGATAGAAGTAGGGGAGATCACTTTGATTTGTATCAACAAAAGAGTTAAATTGTGTTGACTAGCTTACCAAGGGACTTTACTCTGGTTAACTAGCCAATTAATCCAAGTTAACTCCTCTAGAATGGCAGGTTTTTCTTGTTCCTCTTGTCTTGTCACTGATTGTGAATGCACTGCTAGCAGACACTGTTTCACCCCTAGTATGTGGCTTTACTTGTCTCATCCTATCATTTTATTTTTACATCATTTCAGAAAAGCTCACCGGTAAGGGCAGAGCACTCTTTTATTCACTTTTCTATACATAATAAAAAGCAATACTGTAGGCTAGGAACTAGCTTTTTATCTAATATTAGAGTTCAGCACATATTATATTCTTATATTATTGTATTATTTCATTTAATCTTAAAATGTTGGCAATAATTACCTGATACAGAAATTATTTGATGTTTCTTTTTCCATAAAGTTTCCCCAAGTTAAGGTTTAACACAGAGGCGTAGCGAGGGGGGGGGGGGGGACATATGTCCCCAGGCGCCGACCTTAGGGGGCGCCAAATTGAAAGTTTGAGGGGTGGGGGTGCAAATGAAAAGTTCGATGGGGGTGTACACTTTTATCAGATCAGTGAAATTGAATACAAATCAGTAGATTAAAAAAAAAAAAAAGAGTTTGGTCAAACCTAATCTGTATGAGGCTGTTATAATTAGTTTATCATTGAATATTATAATTTTATTATGCTTATATCAGTTTAAATCAGGTGTCCCCTGTAATAAATGTCTTACACCTTGGAGGAAGGGGTTTATTGAAGATGTTTGACTTTAGGGAGGGGAGGTTCAGAAAGTGTATTGTCATTTTTACATTTTAAAAGTAGTTAATTATACTGAATTTTTTGTTACAGACCATTTTTAAAAAAGATGTTTTGAAATTTGAACTAAAATTGATCAGTTTTAAGAAAATTTAAATTGCAACGGGGTGGGTGGGGGGTTTAAAATCAAGTATGGTTTCATTTATGGATGACCCATTACACATAATATAAGTAACCTTAATTGAAATTAAAATCAATTAGGCTTAGGCTTATTATACTTATAAATTTGATTGTTTGGAATCATGTAAATGAACACTTTTGTAGCTGAGTAGCACAGAATAAATATCAACTTTGGTGGGTTGAATTACTCTAGTACACCAAACATCCCAAGTACTCAATTTGTGATTAACATTCCTACACTAGAGAAAACAAACCTGAGTTCAGTTTTACAGACCTAAACATGGATGGACATTAAAATTAATATCAACTTTGGTTGGTTGAATTACTCTAGTTCACCAAACATCACAAGTACTCAATTTGTGATTAACATTCCTACACTAGAGAAAACAGAGTTCAGTTGTACAGACCTAAACATGGATGGACATTAAAATTCTTAAGAAAATTAGCTGGTTAAAAAAACAAATGAAGAACTCTCTAATTTCTTGGTTCCAGTACTCCCACAGAACAGATGTCAAAGTAAATACATCATTTCCTTACCTGCTTGTCCCATTTTTTTTTTTATTGATGGATGCTTCCTCTCTGCTTTGGAATTTGTACATTAGTTTTGGGTCAGTAGGTCGGGCGTAATGGATTTCTTGGTGTTAAGTAGTTGGGTGTCTGGGGAGATTCTACAGAACAAATGTCTTCAGAGTTTGACTCTATGGGCTCAGGTTTCCATTCCACTTAGTGCTCATTGCCAGCAAAAACTATCATAAGTTATCAGTTGGTTTTTTTTTTTTTTTTTAACATTTAAAGTATTTTTAAAATGTGTGTTTAGCAGCAACTAAATATACTAGCCATAATACTATTACCTAATGTAAAACATTGTATTGTTTGATAGCTTAATGTAGAATTTATCACCTAATTATTTGTTCACATACTTAACCTTCCATCCATATTTTTTTACATAGGTAACCATCTATTTTTTCTATTATCTGCTTGTCTCCCTTGTCTGTGACCTGCCTGTGGTTTTTATAGTGGATTAAGTGTTGGAAATAAAATAAATATTCCAATTTTTCTCTAAATTAATTAGATTTTATTAAAATGTGTATTTTAATGAGGTAATATTCAAAATTTTAATTAAAAAAAAAACAGCAAAAAAAACTTCCTTATACTATTTTAAATATACTTTGCATTAAAAACCTGACTACAAATGACCTCCCCTTGTATGGTGTGGATGTTTTGCTTGTACCTGCACTTTTCTCCACTGTGATTCCGTCTTCCTGTTATACCTTTCTTTTTGATCTGGTGTTACATTTTTGATACCTAACCTGATTATTGCTTCATGCTTATTTCCTCTCATAATCATTTCAAGTTAACTAATTATTTTTCCTAACATTTGACACATTTGCTTAGGCTATGTTGTAATTTTAAACAGAAACTTTCGCAATTGATTTAAACAAATGCTGAGTTTGTAATGTAAATGAATATCTAGTGCTTGTTCCTTTCATTCATTTATAAGGAAAATGTGAAAGTTAACATCCATTAAGCTGCCAAGTTACCATGGTAACCATATGAGTAATCTCCCCCCATGTATGATTGTCAGGTACCCTATGCTGCATCTGAAGTAGAAGACACATTGGTGCAGGCTTTACCTCCTGAGCAGAACTTCCGCATCTTGACGCCAATCATCCAGACCATGGAATACCACATGGCATGTGGCGCCATACAGATGATGACTAAAGTAAGACACATTTACCTCACTTAGTCACCTTCACAGAATGACTAAACTAGGAAACATTTACCTCATTTAGTCATGCACCCAGAATGACTAAAGTAAGATACATTTAGTCTACCACCCAATATGACTAAAGCAAGACACATTCTTCTCATTTAGTCATTCCACCATCATGACTAAAGTAAGACAGTTACATTTAGTCACCTCACCTACTCTGCATGACTTATGGTAGACAAATTCACCTTATTTAGTCACAACCACTGCATGATTAAAGTAAGACACATTTACCTCATTTAGTCACATACTTCACATGACTAAAGTAGGACAAATATATCTCATTTGGTCACCCACCCAGTATGACTATATCAAGACATATTACTCATTTAGTCACAGCACTTCCCTACGACCTACCTAGTTTACACACTATAAGACTTCCAACCTCAATTTAGCCCTTGTATTTAACAAATGAATGTGATTGAGGACATGTTGTTTGTCTATTGTATACCATGTTGTGGCCAGACTTGAGCTGATATTTTGTGTCTTGCAGGTTGTAGAGAAAATGCCTAAAGATGTTTTAGAGGCTTCATTGCCTAACTTGATACCTGGATTGTTTAAGGTATGTCATGGCACTTATGATAGGGAAGCTTAGCCTTGCACTAAATGGCTAGTTACCTGAAACTGATATTCTTGGAAATATTTTCTTGGTCTGCCACCTGGAAGCTGGGGGGGGGGGGGGGGGGGGGGGAAGAGAGAGAAGAGAAATCTAACCAACACTTTGTATTTCTTCAGAACAAAAATTAAAAAGCACATATCTATTCTGATTAGGATTAAGATTAATTTAAATGGATTGGTCAGAGCTGTTAGTGTGGTGGAGGGGGTAAAGTTATCTTAAGATGTGAGTTCTGATGTTTGGACACCATATAGGTGCAGTTGTTTAACTTGTCTAACAGTGATGTAAAGATTGCTAGAATGTAATGATTCCTGTTCTCCCCTCAGAACTTTGAACACAAAGAGTCCCCTGTAAGAAAGGCCAGCTGCTTCTGTCTAGTGGCCATCTACCTACGTGTGGAGGAGGCCATGAGGCCATTCATGGAAACTTTAAATAGCCACAGAGTGAGTATATACCTCTTTCTTTTACAGCCTTTATTCCTTCCTGTATTTATAAGTATTAAGTACTAGCCTGTGTCTATACCATCTTTCTTTTACAACCTCTATTCTTTCCTGTATTTATTAAGTTCCAGCCTATGTCTATACTATCTTTCTTTTACAGCCTCTATTTTTTCCTGTATTTATAAGGATTAAGTACTAGCCTGTGTCTATAAGATCTTTTTTTCACAGCCCTATTTCTTTCTGCATGAATGTACCAAAAATAATTTTTTCATTGTATAAATATACTTTCACTAGGACACCTTTCCTTGTATGTTTTAGTTCTTCAAATATTTAAATTGGAACACCTATAAATGTTTGATTGTTTATTTAATCCACAGATGAAGCTTTTAAACCTGTACATCAGAAAACGCAAGCAAGAAGATGATAAATAGCATTTGACCCTGATTAGGATTTTAAACTATTGAGTGAGTGACTTTTAACACAACTGTAGAAACCATTAGCCAACAACTCCGTGACTGTCTGGTGTAGTGCACAGCGTGTGGGACTACGAGCCTGATGCCCAGGTTCCAACCCCAGAATGTTCTGCAAGTGATGCCCCAGTGTGAATGCCCCAAAATTTAAAAATGACATTTTTTGCATTTATTTAAAAGAGAGTTCAACTGGACATCTTCACCTCATTTTTCTACGCCAAAGGTTTCTTCCGTGTTACTTGCAGACTATTTCTCATGTGATTAGCTGAAGTTGATCTGATTTTAAAAAATTTAATATTTTACTGACTTAAAATAATAGTATGGATGGTGTTAAAAGAATTAGGGCGCTTGGTGGCTGTTACCACAACTTAGGTTTAGGGCTCAAGTAATTGACACGTAACATATTTATGGCCCTGATGTTATAGATTTAGGGCTTGAATAGTGTTGTAACTATATAGATTGAGGTCTTGATGGTATTTATAGACGGTAGATTTAGGGCTCTAAATGATATTGATTTAAAGCCCTGAGTAGTAATGGCACAAGTTGTCACTGGTATGGTTAAGATAGATGGCTCCATTCCCACCCACTGTTTGAGATCTTGTCTTAGAATGATCATTAATTCTGTAGATTCCAACTTTTTTAGCCACTGATGTTTATCTAAATCGACTAATGTTTACCTTGAACAAATTGTATCCGATGTTCTTCTGACGTTTAACTTGGTAATAAAATTGTTCGTGTTGTAATAGTGTGTGCTACCTGAATCATGAACTCTAATCACTGCATACGTGCTTTTTTTTTTAACCTGGATGAACAGCTTGTGTCTCAGCATAGGTGTATCTATAAAAATAAAAAATGATGTGCTTTGTAAGTTTTTCAAGTGTACTTATAACTTGAATTTTTTTTTTTTAAATACATTTTTTAAAATGTTAGCTGAAGAAAAATTTTGTTCTAGTCTTGAGTTTAGTTAGTGATGTAGTGCAGCCTGACATGGTTTAACTCCATGCTTGGGTGGCTCTGTGTAGGGGCATTATGTTTCTATTGTAGCATGTGCCCACTTGATGTATGTAAACACCCCTCAGCCCAATCACCACTGTACGAAGCCTCCACCCAGTCTATGTTATGAGAGAATGTTGTTTTTAATTTATGCTAGCTGCCAGTGCCTAATGTTTATACACTGTGTTTGTAGGCAATATTTATTTCCTCATCCTTTTATATAATAATGTAAATTTTTAGCAATGTACAAAATCTTTATCATTTCGTGGTGTTGACGGAGTTGTATTTTTTTTTTACACTTTCTATCAAAGGTAAATGAAATAAATCAGATGTCTTATGGTTTATAAATATGAATACTTGAGTTTTTCATTAATTGGAGAGGAGTTGTCTCTTTCTCTCTCTGCAAGCAGTAGAGTGATCTACCCTATTTTATTGAGTTATCGACCTTTCATGCCCTACCACAAGATGCTGCACCCAGCAGTTTCTAAACTTTTTGTCATCCCTTTCATAAAAAAATAAAAATTTGGCCCCTACAGATTCTTAACCCTATGCTTTTTTTTACCCACATATAACCTTAACCCTTTACTGATCTTTACTTGGGCTAACAATTTCAAAACTATGAAAATAGTATGTTTTTTTAAATGATTTACCTACTGATATATGTATATTTTTATTTATGAATTGTACATTTTTGTGGAACTTGATTGCCTCCCCTAGATCTAGTCCGCGCCTCTTTGTTTGGAAACCGCTGTCTTAAAAGGGGAAGTAATACAGAAATTAAGGATTTTTTTTATACCTCGGAGTGTGCTCCCTTGAATAAAATATTTTTTTTAAAAACAATTAGGACTATAATAATTAGTATAATATGTACACTTATAATTTATATTAAGACTATATTGGCATTGACATTTTATAATAGTAACAAGCGACACCTTACACCTGCTTAGTAGTATACTTGGTGCTAGAACATTCTATTTAGATAACTCACCTACAAGACTAGAGTGAGGTATAGAGGAGCCGGTTGTGTGTGTTGCTGCTCTACAATAATTGCTTTAGCTGGCAAGTGGTTGCTGTTTATCTGGTCGCTGTGAATTTCAGTTTGTTGATTCATGGCGCCATTAAAATATTTCTTTCTCTTCAAAACTCCATAGCTTTCTAAATCTGCCTCATGTGTTTCTGGCTGACTGTTGTACAAACTGTTTCATGTAAGTGATAGCTGCATTGATGGTTAGCTCCACCCACTGGGGGAGAGAACTCCACCCACTGGGGGGAGGTAACTCCAACCAAAGGGAGAGAATCAAGCCATTGATGATGCCTGGTATTTGATCTGTGTATAAACTAAACTGGACACCATGATCACACGACTTGTCATATCATTTTTATCCCTCTATTTGCATGAACATTATTGTAAATAATAAAATAACAAGTAACTTATAAAAATAATTCTTGTTTCGTTTCATTTTTTTTTGTTACTTAAGTTAGTTGTTTAGGAAAAACAATATTTGCCTCCCTTTTAAATATTTTATAAAAAAATGAGGCAGCTCCTTGAAATGGTGTCAGTGTATCTCTAAGTGTCCAACACACTAATTTAATTAACTTGGACTTTTCTTGTTAAAAAGTAAACAATTAAAATTCTGATGGATCGATTATTATTTGTCACATGGAGTGTGCATATAATTAGTTCAACATGTACATTAATCTAACGCAATGTTATACCTAATTCATTGCTATTAAAATTGTATTATTTTCATGGACGTTTTCTTAGCTTATTCCGAGCTTGCAGTAAAACGTAAATTCCAGTGTTGAACAAGGTTGCCCTGGGTGTCCTGCATAGAACCATCTTATGAAGTTCAGCACACATTACAGAACGTCTTTAAAAATCTTTTTCCTAGGACCTGGAACCAGCGAACATCGAAGGTATTCATGAACTAATGCGGACCCAACTCGAGACGATCAGGTTAGCAGTAGGGGGACGGCGTGGTAGAGTCGGAAAAGCTCATGGTTGCTAAACCGAAAAGTCTCGAGTTCGAACCCTCGGGAAGATATGAGCTCGTTAGCTTGGGACAACCACTCTTCTAGGGGAGACAACTCTAAACTCATGGGGAAAAAAAGCAAAGCAGGCTGAAATAGGAGTCATTGGCGCATAACCAGTTGAAACGTATACTTAATTGTGTTGGAGGGGATCCCTTCCAACATTAAAATTAAGAACGAAGAAGAAGAGGAGGTTAGTAGTTGGGCGCTCTACTTCCTAACCACACTATCTTATTGAGTAAGGCGTGCTAACATATTGACCCCGCCTTTAGCCTCTTTTCTGTCATAGCAGTTGAGTATCTGCAAGGTAGCAGTTGAGTATCTGCTAAGTAGCAGTTGAGTATCTGCAAGGTAGCAGTTGAGTATCTGCAAGGTAGCAGTTGAGTATCTGCTAGGTAGCAGTTGAGTTTCTGCAAGGTAGCATTTGAGTATCTGCAAGGTAGCAGTTGAGTATCTGCAAGGTAGCAGTTGAGTATCTGCAAGGTAGCAGTTGAGTATCTGCTAGGTAGAAGTTGAGTATCTGCTAGGTAGCATTTGCCCAGTTATGAAATTGATCTGGTGATTATCCCCAGTTTATGTTAGTTATCTCCCCTGCATTTTCACTAAAGTAAGTGCTTCACACTTATTTTTAAAAATCACACACGAAGTTGTATAGCACCACCGCTAAAACTGGGCTTATAGCCTTTGTCACAGCCTCTAGTTTGGCGTGTAGGCTCATGTGTACACATCTCCCTCCCAGCTAAGGTTGTACTCTTGTATAAACCTCCCTTGTAGGCTAATTTGTACACATCTTCCTCCCAGCTAGGATTGTACTCTTGTATAAACCTCCCTGTAGGCTAATTTGTACACATCTTCCTCCCAGCTTGTCGGGTACTCTTATATAAACCTCCCTGTAGGCTAATTTGTACACATCTTCCTCCCAGCTAGGATTGTACTCTTGTATAAACGTCCCTTGTAGGCTAATTTGTACACATCTTCCTCCCAGCTAGGGTTGTACTCTTGTATAAACCTCCCTTGTAGGCTAATTTGTACACATCTCCCTCCCAGCTTGTCGGGTACTCTTGTATAAACGTCCCAGAGTCGCTCGTATACTTAGTCTACACTTGCAAACATTTAAAATGTGTTCGAGCTAGTTCATGTTCTTTTGGGGATGGGGGGAGGGGGGGATTTTATGACCAGGGGTCTCCAAACTACGGCCCGCGGGCTGGTTGCGGCCCGCGAAGTCCTCTCATCCGGCCCGCTGAGATCTTTTTGTCCAAGGAAAAATCGTTTGTTGGTGATGGCTGAGGAACTTTGCCCAGAAAAATCAAAGACATGCCTGGAAGAAACTGGCCCCCGAACTGAAATGCGATAGTTAATGCGGCCCTCGGACTGAAACGTATGGAGACCCCTGCTTTAGACCATAAGAGTAGCTTAAGGTTAACTATTTTACCATCGCTATGACGTTCTAGTAATGTTTCCGGCTACTGTTGCTGGTTAGAAGATCAGCTCCGTTAATTAATTCCCTTTGATTTAGTTCTGGGTTTAAAAATTCCCATCACGCACCATCTCGTTCCGTTTTTCCCACCCCCCTGACCCCCTTTGTTCCCTACCTGCTGGACGGCGTTGATGATTATCTCCCTTGAAGTGATGGAAATAACGGTTGTCCCCCTTGTCGCCCGGGGCTGAATTTAATTCACCTGCCGCACAGACGAAGGGGACATAATCGGTGGATGCATTAAATGGGGGTTCTTTCTTCTCCGCAGCATGAAACAACGGGGGATCCGTTCCTGCGTTGATCATTTGGCTGCGATTTTCTCCTGGAAGATAAAGGGACTGTCCCCTCTCGTTATTGGGTTCCACCTTCGCTCCACCACCCCCCCCCCCCCGATGGCGTGACCATAAAAGCCGTAGAGTGACCGTAAAGAAAAAAAAAAGCTAATGACCGATAAGAAGACAAAAATGACCATTAAGGGTGACAATCCGACAGCTCAAGGGGGAATAACTGGTGAGACTTGACAAATTATCTCCCTTGAATAGATGGTAAAATAAATCTGTTCGGCCAACCGAAAAGTTGCGATAACAACTTTAAAAAAAAAAAAAAATTTGGCATCAAAGAAAATTGTTCGGTGTTGGTAGGCCAGTGTTCAGAAATCTGTTGCTCATGAGCTGGAAATGTCTGTTTGGCCATACTTGTGCCTCTCTATTTATTATAGGATTTTTGTAAACTTTTATTCAATTCACAATTTGTCTATCCTTGCGTCTGTGACTAATCTTGAAATTCAATTTTGGCCCACTTTTAAATACAGCGACTTTGTTCCAACTTTCCACATACATTCGTATCTGAAAACAATGCAAGAATATACAACGCTGTATTAAATTATTCATTAAAAATTAATTTAAATTCTACTATATTCAGTAACAAAATGTGAGATAACGATCGCTCGATCGTCTAGCGAACTCTCGCAAGCTACTGATTAGATTTTAAAGCAAATATTTCATTTCTATGCAGAGTTTCTTTCGGGAAATCTTCAGAGGAGTGTGATTTTTCCAGTGCATTTAAAAGGTCAATATTACAGAACAAATATTTGTTTTGTTTTTGAATGCATTGATACTTATTACCCCTGAACGAAATAGAAACAGTAAAGCCTATAAATGATATAGAAAATATATACTTTAACCAGTGTCATTCCCCCCCTCTCCGGAAATTTATGGTCACCTTCCCCCCACCCGATGAGAATTTTAAGTGCCTCCTCTCCTCCTCCTAAACCCCCCCCCCCCCCCCCCCATCATTGGAAATTCATAATTTTTTTTTTAAATAGAAAATAAAAGATTTAAAAAAAAAAAAAAAAAAAAAAAAGTCCTTTATTTAGTAGAAGTTTTGTAATCTCCTAAAAATGTATGTATTTCTGTTTTATTTTGGAGTTTAAACAAATTAAAGTATCGTTTTCGGCGATAATCGACATACGCTGTTGTCAAGTCGTCATCAGAGTCTCTTCCAGGCATCTTTTAATTTTTTATACTTTTAACTGTGTCCACCCCCCCCCCCCCCCCCGGAAATTTTAGTCCGCACCCTTCCCCTCCCAGCCCCCACCCGAAAATTTCAAGTGCCCCCCCCCCCCCCCCCCCCCCGAGAAAAAAAGTCTGGAAAAAAACACTGGCTGTTTTATTGGGTAGAATGGAGGGGGGGGGGATGTAGATATAAAAATATCCATTACTGAGGCACTGACAATTTAACAGCGACGCCACATAATGGTCAACCAACGGCCCATTTCAAGTTTAAAACCACGAGAGTGTAGGTCTGACTACAAAACTATGAACTTTTGCTATCACGTAGGCCCTACTTCAAAAACCTTCTTTCAAATAGATTTTATGAATAATTCTGTAAACACTTTTAATTTTCTGTTGAGAAAAAAATAATCACTGAAGCGTGTCTGTCGAACAACTGCCCATTCTTCACTGACAAATTGTTAGGGTCACTATGACAATACTATTGTCATTCATTATTCTAGGCCCGAGTTTATCTGAACGCTAGCGGGAGATAATCCAATTCCCACGAAGAGTTACCTACCTTTCCCATACGCCTGCAAGAAGGGGAGCTGTCTCACGAACAATAACTCTGCGCACAAATCCGATTGTCTGCCCAATCAAACAACCCACGGAAAAGGACGGAGTATGTCGAATGCGAACCGCTGCAATCATAGCCAGTGTAAACAGCTTTAGTGGTGTCATTGGCTTGCGATGGTGGACGGTACCCCCGGGCCTGGGACCGACGGGCCCTACAATACTAGTAGGTCTTGCTTAGGTGTTAATGTTTTTAGGGAAGTCGTCTTCAACTGGCCGCTTTGGGGCTTGTTCCCACACCGTTTCACTCACGAGAGCTACACGGCGATAGTTTTCCCACCTAGTTAAAAACAACAACCCGGCGTAACGGTCATGTCACCGTGTTCTAGAACTCAACTTTGCGATCTTAGCTGCGAACAAAATAATTAATTTGATTACATGTTCTTACTTAATTTACTTGATCTAAAATATTGTATAGGCTACTTTTCATCATGCTGTTATCGTGTAATTTATTTTTATTATTAAAAAATGTATAACATCAAAGGCGGTTGCGAAAAAATAAATCAAATGTGGGCGGAGACTGTTGTATGGAATCCCGCATGACTCAAATTTGTAATTTATTACAAATAGTCACCCTGCGCATATATATTTTGGGCGTATAACAGTAGGCTCTATACCACAAAAGGGGGTATGATGCTGGTATAGAGACATACTATAGATATATAAAAGTGATTTTGAATGTTATAATTATTTTATTGAAAATGTGCTTTTTAGCTATAATAAATTAAGCTGTAAAATGTGATTTTTATTCTATTAATGTGATCTTCATCATTAATTTAAAAATAACAGGTTTTTATAGATCTAGTGAG